GTATATTTCTGTTTATATAAAGGTAAAAAACCTGCAAAACTAATTTCTTCAAATAGCGATCACATAGAGTGGTGGGCGCACCAGTAAGAAGGGGTAAGAGCTGATGCTGAGAATGCCCTTCCTTGACCTTGGGAGTAGTTTCTCACAATTGTGTGATTTTCTGTACACCTCCACCATTTCAGACTTCAAATGTCTGAAATGCTCTCCCCCTAAGTGGCTGCTCCTGCTGACCTGCCTGGTTTTACTATCACCAGGTTCTCTGTCAGTCAAATGGACTTAAGCTTCGGTCTCTTTCAGTCCATGCTCTGGTCGGTCAAAAGACCTGACCATTCTCTCTTCGCAATGTTTCTTGCACTTCCTTTCTAACAGGGACCCCTTAATTCAGGGTTCATAAGCTCAAATTTGGACTCTTTTTCCTGTTTTCACATGCCATCAAATTCTTTACCTGTTATTTCCCTGTTTTAAAACTCAAGCCCCATCTGAAACCTCCTCAGTGAGAATCTGCATTTCCGTAAGATTCCCTGGTAGACTTCTGCAAGATCAAGCCTCATTTAATCTCTACTATATTAAGAATTAGCACTATGATTATCCCTCAATACACATGGGAAAATTGAGGCTTAGCAACAATAAGAAAATTGCCTGAGGTCAGGGGATGGAGTTCAGGACACCTTGAGGGAATACTAATGTGGAAATTATATGAATGAGCAGTTAGGACGGGCTACTCTGAGGAGGTTAAGCTGAACTCTGGAGGACGAGTCAGAACCAGACAGGCTAAGAGAGAGGGGACGAGAATATTCTGGAGAGGTTAAAAGCAGGTGCAGGCCTGCAGGTAGGAGAGAAATGGGAACATTTTCAGAACAGGGAGGAATGCAGCGTGGCTGCAGAGCAGTGACGAATGAGGAGAAGACTGTGACACAAAGGGCTTTGGAATTTGCTCAGGAATCTTGTTTAATTTTAACAAGTGCCAAGGGGAACAATGAAGTAGTTTAGATGCTAGTCCAAGTGGCTCTAGAACCACTCCAAGGAGAAGGAATGAAGAGGGCAGAGGTGAGGATAAAGCCATGGGCCAGCCACAGGGGTCTGGGTGGGAGTGTGTGTGTGGTCTGGCCAGGGGAGTGTAGTAGAAATGAGGTGAAATGAATGAGTGTGAGATTTTGCTTGAAGATGAAACTGACAGGCCTCAGACCACATCTTCCTCAGCATCTTTGGCAACATCACTAAACAGGTAGAGAGCAGCACCCTCCATGTGGACACTAACACCACCCCCCTTTCCTTCCTGCCTGCCCTCCTCTCCCTCACCCTCTCTCCTAGTGAGGATATGGGGTTGGGACTGGAAAACATAATGACGTGTAAACTGGAAGCTCTTTGGAAGTACAGGGAACACTACCCTGTGCAGTTACAGCTATGCATAGAGTCAGGCATCCTGGTGGGGACTTTACACTCCAGGGGGAGCTGGCTCTGGGACATCCCAGATTCCATGGAGAGCAGCTGCTGCCCTATAATATGTCCAAGGTGACTGTGGAGAGTGAAGAGCTGGATGTCCAGGTTTGAGACTCTGCTTTGCCCTGATTCCTACTCTCAGAACACAAGCCAAACTCTCCCTCCTAGGCCAGTACAAAGGGAGGAACAGTTATGCTCCAACCCTTTTCTTTGAGCTGTTGGCCCCCAGCACGAGGAGTCTCCACTGAATCAGTGACTCCATAAGGAAGGAGGGGCAGAAAGATTTTCACAGTAGCTGACAGCGTTCTAGGGCTACCCAGCTTCCACAAAGAGAATACAATTTCTAACATCAGCAGTTTTAAGATGTCATATTTCTTGTCTGATTTTTCTTACTGTTTTAAAAGCACTGCAGAGAGTGGTAGATGGTTGAAATTGGGTTTAAAAGCAATTTTCCTTCCATCATAAAAAATACTAACTTTAGACAGAGTCACATGCAGAGTAACCATTCTCTCCCTGCTAAATAAGAATTTTTAGAGATTTTAATTCAAAGCTATTTGCAAATTCTCTACAGATTTCATGCCTATCGATTATTTACATCCAAAGCGGAGGGCTGCGTTTTTACACGTGAATCCCAAGAATTTTTTTTCCCACTGACGATGTATGAAAATATACGTCAAACTAGACAGTCACATTTATTTTTTGTTTCCTAAAGGGGAACAGCTCCGTTCTTAGAAGTCACGTCAATTCGTGTCGGCTGGTTTGTTTGTAAGTGAGATCACCTAGCAGCAGAGGGATATTTAAAAGCTCTCCCTCTGGAGACAAGTTTCTTTACAAAATGCAAAACGATCACATAGCTTGCCTGAGCTGGTCTTCGTTGGCTGGAGGGTTTCTCAGCGTTTTTTACTGTCAGATTTTTTCACTCTTTGGTCTCGTAACACAACTATATCTACCTACCTCCCCTGTTAAAAATCAGTAGCAATAAGATCAACCTAGTGGGCTTATTCCTCCTCTTGACTCAATGACTTGCACTGATCCTCAGTGATATTTGAATCAACCTATCTTTTGGCCACCTTGGGAGTGAAATAGAACATAGTTTCCCTACAGCATTCCGAAACTTGATGGCAAAGCTTGCCTTGGCTAAGGACAAGGCCCGGTATTCAACGCCTGTGGTATACCTGATGTACATGTGTCAAGCTTCGGTAGTTAGCTGGGGACACTAGAAGTCAGAAAAGAGCCAAAGACTCAAACGAACAAAAAAACAAAACTCACAACTCAACTCTTGGCTCCTGTGTTTAGGATGAATAATCTGATGAAGATGGCATTTTCCTCATATTTTATTTCTCTGTGCAATTTTATGTAACTTTTTTTTTTTGAGACAGAGTTTCACTCTTGTTGTCCAGGCTATAAGTGCAATGGCGCAACATCAGCTCACAGCAACCTCTGGCTTCTGGGTTCAAGCGATTCTCCTGCCCCAGCCTCCCAGGTAGCTGGGACTACAGGTGTGTGCCACCACACCTGGCTACTTTTGTGTTTTTAGTAGAGACGGGGTTTCTCCATGTTGGTGAGGCTGGTCTCGAACTCCTGACCTCAGGTGATCCACCTGCTTTGGCCTCCCAAAGTGCTAGGATTATAGGTGTGAGCCACTGCGCCCAGCCTATGTAATGTCCTTAAACTGAAATGGTGATCTTATTTTCTTAGATACCTCTCTCACCTTCCCTTTTCTATTTCCATCGTCTTTGGAAGAAAAGCCTCTCCATAATTTTCCAAATCTCAGAAAACTAACAGAGACAATCAGTGATCTCGGGACACCAGAAGGTGACTTGAACCCTCCAAAGGTGCTCCTGGATTTCCCCTCTAGAGGGTTCCCACTTGTGTAATTGTACTAAGGAGTTGCCAAGTTGTTCTGGAGATGCGTACTAAATGCTTTGACAGAGATTTAGTTTGATGTTGCCTTTCAATTTCATTTGTATTCTGGTTTACAGATCATTTCCTAAAGCATATACCTGGCATTATATGCCTTTTGGGAATTCATTGATTCAAAGACTGAATAGAGCTGTCAGGGAGTTTGGAAATCATCCAGTTTAACTTGTGACCTTTACATTGGAGCAACCTGGGGCCCAGAGAGATTAAGTGGCTGTGCAAGGTTTTATAGTGAGGTAGCAAGACAGCCAGAGCCCAGACCTCCACATGCCTAGCTCGTGGTCTTTAACCCCCAGACGCCATGAAACACTGTCATCCACAACTAATTCACATGGCCTCTTCTCTTTTTCTGTGCGAAGATTCCACTTTCCCCGTCTTCCAGTTTGCTTCTTAGCAGTTGAGAAACATATATCATAGATCCCTTTGACCTTTTTCTCAAACATCTTGGACCAAAGCTATTCCAGTGTGAAGCCAGGGTTGGGCCAGGAATCTATGAATAAATGAGTCACCGTCTACCAGTACACATTTTCTCTTCTTTTTCCTATACAGGCGACATGCACCCTGATACTGTCCCCCAAATTAAAGCGCTCAGCCTAACATAACATGCTCCATGCCATAAAAAATTACAACAACAGTGGGGAGATTCCCCAGACCAACCAGATCAAAACTCAGGTTGGAGCATGACCCAGCACAGGGCAGTGGCATGTTCCCAGAGGGATGCACAGAGGCCCTGCTGAGATCCGGACACAACGAGCACCTTGCAATACGGTAACTGTTTAACAGCATCTATTTAGTTACAGGATTGACACATTACCAGGAAATGCTTTCCTTAGAAAATGCCCTCTTATTCATCATTCGTCCGCCCGTGCGTTCACCTGCCTACGCACCGGTCTGTCTAATCTTCTCGCTGCCTTATTCTAGAAGGGATTTGAGTGGCAGCTCTGCTGTAACTGGAATAGTCCCAGTGATGAGATCATCAAATATGAGAAAGCACAAAGATATTAATCTGAGAATCATATCCATTTTATAAAACCTCGTAGTATTAAATATTAATAAACATTGACAATCTTTTTCCCATATGACCTTCTTTCTTTAAATATTAGGGTAACTCTACCATTTCCTTTTAACCTCTTTTTCTCATCGTCTCTCTCTCTCTCTTTCTTAACATCAAAAGGAAATAGTAGGAATTACATTAATACTATAGACACACACACATGCATACACACATGTGTATATTAGAGAGAGAGAGAGGAGAGCTACTGCTTTCTTTGCAACTTTTGTAAATTATTTCATTATAACGAAATAATAAATGAGCACCTTACAATACATTTGGTTTTTATAAAAACCAGAAAGCCTCAGTTGACGGACTCTGTCCCTGCATTGACCAAGTGTAAAATCATAAAGGTTTTTTTTCCCTACTAACAGGACAGCTGGAGAGCAAAAATGCACTGTCTTTCAATTAATCAGTCATGAGAAGTGATGGTAGGAAGACGTCATGCCTCATTCACAAATCACGTGTAAAACAGCAGACATATCACAGGCCTGTGTCAACAAAGAGCATTAGGACAGTTCCTTGGATTGTGACAAAAGTAGCCAGTCAATCTTTCCCCAAATTCAGAAACCAAATTGCAAGCCCTTACCTTGGAGGGCCTGTAAGCTATGAGTCTGTACGATAATGCAGAGCTGTAGGACCAGCTGCGGAGCACTTTCCAGAAAGGTGGCTAGCAAATGCAGCATGCTCACGTCCGCATACTCATAGACCATCTTCCAGTAAAACCTCCATCTGTCATTCTCCCCACTCTGTCGGCTTCGAATACCTAAGTATATCGTGTGGAAATATCTAGAAAGAAAACATAGAGAATAAGAAAGAGACGAGTGTTGGTAGTTTATAATTCAAACTCCAGGGTTGTTCTTTTCTCCAAGCCATCATATGCAAGCAAGCACGAGAAACAATTACCTTGGGGACTTCTGATTTAAAGTCCAAAGTTAACTGCTCAAGAGTACCCATATTTGTAAATGCTCACTTTGAGAAATCACTGCAATTTTAGTCCTCATAAAGATATTCTGCTGAATCACAATACAAGGAAGTGTGAGGTGGAATGTGGTTGAAACAGGTGGAGAATGGGTTTGCTACTTTAAAGATCTACGTATATTCTTCTTTGTCAGTTTCTCCATGTGCTCAGCAGTACTCATGAGGGGATTTCTCCTAGGACACAAGGCAAGCCTGAAGTACCAAAATGTATGTGCAAGTCAACTTTCTTATGTCTTAAAAAACCACTTTTTGTTATTGAAAATTCCAAACATATACAAAGGAAGACAAAATAATGTATCCATTATACACTTCGCTCAGGGTAAGTGTAGTTGATCCTTGAACAACGAGGGTTGGGATGTCAGTGTAGTTGCAAATCTGAATATAATTTTTGACTCTTTCCTTTACTAATAGCCTATAGTTGATTGAAAGCCTTACTGATAAACAGTATATCAACATATATTTTGTATATGTGTTATACACTGGATTCCTACAATAAAGAGAAACGAAAATGTTTTTAAGAACATCATAGGAAGAGAAAATATATTAACTACACATTAAGTAGAAGTGGATCATAAATGTCTTCATCATCTTTACATTGAATAGGCTGAGGAGGAAGAGGAGGGGTTGGTCCTGCTCTCTCAGGGGTGGTAGAGGTGGAATAAAATCTGCCTGTAAGTAGACCTGCACAGTTCAAACTTATATTGTTCAAGGGTCAACTGTAGTTATCAACATACTCCCAATCTTTTTCATTTGTACCTCCACTTACTTCTTGTCACCAAATTATTTTAAATTATTTTGAAGCAAACCCCAGGCATCACATTAATCTGTATTTTATTTAAAATAATTTTAAAACCAATATTGTGATCACACTTATAAATAAAGACAACAATTTCTTAATAGTATCAAATACTCAATCTTCATATTTTCTTGATTATCACAAATTTTTTTTTTTTTGAGATGGAGTTTCGTTCTTGTTGCCCAGGCTGGAGTGCAATGGTGTAACCTGGGCTCACTGCAACTTCCGCCTCTTGGGTTGAAGTGATTCTCCTGCCTCAGCCTCCCAAGTAGCTGGGAATTACAGGCATATATCACTAAACCCAGCTAATTTTGTATTTTTAGTAATGATGGGGTTTCTCCATGTTGGTCTGGCTGGTCTAGAACTCCTAACATTAGGTGATCCACCTGCCTTGGCCTCCCAAAGTGCTGGGATTACAGGCGTGAGCCACTGTGCACAGGCCTGATTATCACAATTTTTTGAGTTTGTTTGAAATGCAATCCAAACAGAATCCACATATGATGATTATTTGATATGTATCTTGTCTCTTACAATATGGATTATGCTTCCAAGTCTTTTCAAATTTCTTGCATATTTCTCGTTGTCTTGACTTTAATGATTGTATTTGCATGGTGTGGTTAACATATCTATCCTTAGTGTTTTCTGCAAATGGGTAATTACTGTTAGAATTTTGATCAGCTTCAAGTTTGATTGTTTTTGGCAGGTGATGCAGTGTACTTTCATTAGGAGGCACATCAGGATTCGTTGTTCTATTTTATGATCTTACCATCCACTGACAATATTGCAATCAAGGTTGCAAAATGGTGATGTTCAGAGTCCATCGTCCTTACTTACTCGTTAGAATACTTCTCCAGCTCTCTTCCCAATGTCTCTACAGCATTTGGTTGTCTGAAGCTCACTCTCTGGTAGATCCCTCAGGAAAGGTACACAGAGACAGTATTTCTTCAGCTCTTGCATGTTCATAATAGTATGTGTTTATCGATCTTGCCTGGGTGAGAATAGGGTTCTTTGGGTTACACAGACCCTAAAGTTCTACAGTTTTAATAGGAGATTGGTTCCCACTTTTAGAGTCTGTGAATGAACAGCATTCACCCAGTGCAAAGATTCTCAGAGGCCAAGAGCGAAGGATGCAGGGATACAGCAAGGAAGTGCAAGAGCAGAAAATCCAGGCAATCTTTTCGCCGAAAGCCTAGGTTATATGGATGTAGAATTTATGCATATTTCATGCAAGATCCAAGATATGTAATTTATTTATTTGAGCACTTTAAATCTGTCACTTTGTTGTTTACTATCCTAGTGTTCTTACGGAAAAGTCTGGTAGAAATCCAACATTCTTTCTCTTGTAAGCTACTTGATCTTTTGCTTGGATGTCTCAAGTATATATACATCATATATATATGATATAAATATGATATATATCTCATATATGATACATATCTCATATATATCATATATATGAGAGACATATATGTGATATAAATATGTCACATATATGTCTCTCATATATATGATACATATATCACATATATGTGTGAGAGATATATATGTGACATATATCATATATATGATACAAATGTGACATATGTATCATATATATGATATAAATGTGATATATGCATCATATATATGATATAGATGTGATATATATATTTATAAGAGAGCTATGGTTTGATTAGACTGTATCTTGATATCTGCTGTTCTGCATCAATTTTCTGAGGAATAATTAAGTAGCTTCAGGTTTCCATGGGTAGTTTAATTTTTCTTGAATGATAGCATTTAGCATTTTTTCTAACCCATTGCTTTGTCTTCCTTCTTGGACGCCTCTTATTGATTATATATGCTGTATCTTCTTTCTCGTGTGTCTAACAGTTTTTCTTGAATCCTTTTAATCTCAAATTTCTTCTTGATTTTAAATTTTCCTCCTCTCCATCTTCTATTCATCTTCTTACTATGGTGTGCATACAGTGCCATGTCCCTTCTAGTTGTTTCATTTCTGTCCTGCTTTATTTTTAAATTTAAAATCCTGTATTGAATTCTATCATCCTTTGTGTCAAATATTCCTTTTTTCTGCTTATTTCTTTACGAATTTTTCTAATTCTGATTTATATTGTTCTTCATAATGTTTACAATTTTAAAAATTTCTTTCAGTTCATTTAGAAGTATTTGCTTCTAACCTTTATCCATTTGTATGTGTGTTTTTCTTGTCTCTTTCATTGTCTACAGCAGCATCATTAGTTTTCTTAATTTCTTTTTTTTTTTCTGAGACGGAGTTTCGCTCTTGTTACCCAGACTGGAGTGCAATGGCTCGATCTTGGCTCACCGCAACCTCCTCCTCCTGGGTTCAGGCAATTCCCCCGCCTCAGCCTCCCGAGTAGCTGGGACCACAGGTGCGCACCACCGTGCCCAGCTAATGTTGGTATTTTTAGTAGAGACGGGGTTTCACCTTATTGACCAGGATGATCTCGATCTCTTGACCTCATGATCCACCCGCCTCGGCCTCCCAAAGTGCTGGGATTACAGGCGTGAACCACTGCGCCCGGCCTCTTACTTTCTTTTCATTGTGATAATTCATAATTTTCTGGTTGCTAAGTTTTAAAAGTTAATTTAGTTTCCTGTACTTTTAGGAGGCATGAGTGGGCCAGGATAGCTGAGCTGGTTTCACAGCTCTTAACACATTATTCTGGTGTCCTCATGAAGTGGTAAACAGAATCACGTGTGACTTTCTTCTATCAGCTGTCTCTGCTCCTGTCCCGTTTTATTTGGAGATTCTCTTTCATCTCTTGTTGTCTCTATCCTGCTCAATTTGGAATCTATTCCCAGCAGATTCTCCTCAATGTGGAGACTTGTTTGGGAAAGGCCTTCAGGTTCTTAATGGGTTGGAAGGACGTGTCAAAATTTCCTTCCAGATGGGGAGTTTTAAAATGCCTGAATCTTTTCAGGAGGAAAGACTGCTATACAACATAGGAACTCCTTGATGGGCCCAGCTTACAAAGAATGACACAGGAAAATATTCCAGATTAAGGCTCCATCTACTAGTTTAGAAGTCCTGCCCTTAGGAAGCAGGGGCGGTGGGTCATGTGAAGGGACAGCCTGGTGTCCCACACACACTCTTGCTCTTTGAAAATAACTATAGGCAAAGAGCACACACAAATTCACTCAGGATTGGCTATGAGGATATATAGTATTGTGCTATTTATAGTATAAAAAATGGTTAAAACCCAAATGCCCAATGATAAGGTATTAAACAAATTAAAATACATCCATTCATTTTATATTGTTAAGGCAAAAGGCAGGTTAAAATAATATAGCCAATGTAGCCCATTAATAATTTTAAATGTGTGTGTGTGTATACACAGAATAAAATTTAAGACATTTAACACCAAAATATTAAAGTGATGATCTCTTGGTGGTGGAATCATGGGCTATTGTTATTTTTGAAGGGCACAAACAATGCAGTAATAAACTTTCATGTAGCTAAAGTGCTAAAATAGCTTTCACAATTTTTAGGCTTTTGATATATATTGTAAAATTGCTCCTTAGAGAGATTGGACTAATTGGTAGTGCTGAGTGTCCTTATTTTCTTAAACCCTTATGTATTATTAAAATTATGAATTATATGGGTGGACAAAACACATGTTCAATTAGTGACTTTTATTGTTACTGAGGTTCAACACTTGTTGATGCATATTGGCCACTTGTATTTATTATTCAGTGATTTGCCTGAACGTCACTTTCCATTTTAACATGTTAATTTTTCAGGCCCTGACCCTCAAATTTGGCTTATTTAACATGAACCATGGTAACCAAACCATTGACAAATTCCTACCTCATATTTTATACTATAATATTGTAGCTTGGAATCAGAGGAGGCAGAAGCTCGAGGATTTAGGGATCAGATGTCCAAGGTGATATGGCTGAGAAATGGCAGCTGGACCAAGGTCCCAGATATCCCCATGCCAGGTCCCATGATCACACATTACATCTGTCCAGCTTGCATTATTCTGGAATTGAC